ACAAGCCAATAAAAGATTTGAACAACAGATCTTATCTGATGAGGCTTGAGTTCTGCTGCTACATTTGAACAATAGGGTCAGAATTCAGCCTAAGCAACATAAAAGCAACAAGCAATCCCACCTTGTACCAGTGGTTCAGGCTGGTGGTGTAACGGTACATAGGATATTTTCTGGGACCCCTTAGTACCACTTGTGCATTGTTGGTAATGCCACAGCGTATGTTCTTCTAGCACCTTGTTGAATTAGTTCTTCAAAGAGTTAAGAAAGATCTGAAGGCAAAAGAAGGTCCAACAACCTTGTCCGGGTATGTTAAAGTGTCCATTATTTCAAACTAGCAGACCTTCGTCAGAGCATCACACATACTGAACTCACTCCCAGCCAAAAGTTAAGACTGAATGAGGAGTCTATACTGCATTTTCTAAAGTCAGAAACCATGAAATTAAAAAATACTGTTGAACAAAAGCCTAATTGTTAAAAATCTGTCGCCACAAAGCTGACAGCTACCTTCAACATTTTCCGAGATTTGCTATCAAACTGTTATTAAACGGCTGACTTTGTACGTTTAAATATGCATGATGTGGACTGAGGTATCTCTGGGTTAAAAGAGAGTTGATTTTGCATTTTAAGCTTTCTCCTAAAATGAACGAAAGGAAATCAAGAAATTCCCTGGAGTCTCCCTGCTTCGTCTTGCTCCATTAATGTTGTATGAAAAAAAGACAAGACGATCCAACCTAAAAATACTCTTCTGCTCGGCTGGTAACGGGCATTTGAGGAGTCACTGTGAGTCACAAAGAACAGGTCCCCTGTTCTGTCACCGAGCATAGGTAATGACAAATAAAACCAGTGAAGTGTGTGAAGATCACTGACATCTGAAGCAGCTTCACAAAGACGGACAAGTTCGCTCAAAGTTACCGAAGTCTCTAAATTCCTACCCTTTGACAGTTTCTTGACAGCACCCCCATTGACAGCATTGTACAGTTATACTGTTGTATGGTTGGAGAAGCCCCTCTTTAAAATTCCACCTCTGTGGTTTTACCAATGGCCTGTTAAAGGTTAGGAGCAGAGGGGAATTCATGAATGAGAAAGTCAACATTACCATCATCCCAGACATCATTCACATGCGGCTGTTCAAGCATGAAGAGCTTCTGCTTATCAAAAGTCAACATTCATCCAATCTATTCACGCGTTTATCCCCCGTAGCTGATTCCGTTTATGATTAATGCTTACACGTGTTTAATCAGGCCTCATTGAAGCCACTTATTGAAATTCTGTCACTGTGATCTGCTCTTATTATCAGCTTTTTGTAGCAAGGAGCATCATTTTAGGTTGGTTCGAGTCAGTGTTAAATATATGCAACTCAAAGAACGGATAGATAAATGTGATAAGTCAAAAGTGGAATTATCACACACAGTATTTTTTTACATCAGTTATTTCCTGTTTAACTTCTGCACCAACACACATATTTATTTTACTTTTGTTGTAAATGTTTTTTCCGCTTGTGTTTGAATGTACGCCACACTCGTCTTATTTCACGCAGATTCTAATATTAAACAAACTCTGGAGTTTCCTCCTTTTTTGTTACTTTATGCATTATTTGTGCAGGATTAAAGTACGCAGAATCTCTCGAGAGCATGGGAGTTGAATAAATCTGTATAAATAAATCATCAGTTGGTTCATGATAGTCAGTGTTCACTATTTGTAATGCTCCTTTCTGTGGTATCAAAACTGATTTGTGTGTGTGTTGTTCCTCCAAACCTCAAGACAGTAGCTTATGTATATAAGGAAGGGAATACTAAAGGAAAAAAATTTGAATTTCCAATAACCTTTCCTGCAATAGTACAGCAGATATGTTTATATGTTTTACAGCAGTTTCCAGCCAATAACAGCGCCTCAAAATGTACTTGCATAAGTTGTTCCTAGGATTCTTTTTTTCCAGTAAACATGTCCAATATCATTGCAAGTATGCAATTTTGATCATCACTGCTAATGTTTTGCATGCAAGATCAGATGGAATCAGTTTGGAAGTGAGAGTGAATTTTTTCAAGACTGATATTGAAAAAGAAGCAAAAACTTTAAGCTGAGGAGAGAAAGGCATGGCACACTGTCCACCCCTGCTATAATTTGAGTAAATATATGAAATCAAAGGATTATTTATTCAAATAATCATTAAGGAAAATGTCCTTGGTATAAAATGAATATGTACCTATTGAGTACATTTTGTTTGGCCTTTTGGATCCCTCCTCCTGATGAAACACCAGGAGACACTGCATGCTTTCATGTGATGGTTACATGTGGAGGCAGCCTGTGGTTTATGTCCTAGAGTCTCAGACTGTCCACCAAACACCAGAAATGAACGGCGAACAGCAGACTAGCTCTTTAGGTCTGTGGTGATACATGCTGGAGGGCTAATGGAAGCTTTCCTGGTGCTCTGTGGACTCTGTCCCCCTGTGGCATCTTTTTGATGGGTACTAAAGCTGCTGCCTCGGACCTTCTGATTCCTGGATGATCCAAACTTTAATTCTGCAGAAAGCACAGATGCATACCCTTTCTTGTTAGCTGGGTTAAATAATTTTGAAATCCAGGGCCAGTTCCTAATGAAGGGTAAGCTTTATATTTCTTTTGATAAGAAAAGCAGGTGGACAACTCCTCAAGTCTTAATGAAGTGGGTGAAATCCCTGCTTACTCAAACAGTGTGTCTAATGGATTTCCTCCTGCCAGCCTGCGCACTGGGACCGCCGGGCGACTGGAAGAAGTGATCAGAAACAATCTGCTCTGCTCTCACTTTAGAGTTGAACTGATTGCTGTTGACACAAAATGAAAAAAAATATCTAATTGAATCAGTGCTATCTCATGAGACTTCAACTGCACGGGCCTCGCAGAAAACACTGCATACTGAATATTATTAGACTTTTGAGTTTTCCGTAGCACTTTGCAGCAGGAAACAAAAATCGACACAAATGACATTTATTTTGTGTATTTATTCAACTTAGAGCTCAGAAAACAGATCTTGCGGTTACAGTGCATCGGCTCTCAGTCCAGGCTTTTAATTTACACCTTCAGGTCTGTGTTATGTAACTCTCTTAAGCAACTGTATGTGCTGATTGACAGCAATATTTGTGAGCCTAATGCACAGTGCAGCAATTTTGCAGTGAATGTGAGAACAGGTGAATAATAATAAAAGGCTGGGTTTTAATTGGTTTGACAGTCCCAGTAAAACACTCTGACTGAATGTGCTTATTTTCTTTTAAAACAGTGTTACTCTGAAGATGTTTAGTTTAAAGGAAAATCGCATGTCAGAGCATTTTGAATGAGTTCAGGTGGCACCATTACTTTATGAATAGATCTATGGTGACTTTTATAGCTGATCTAACAATTTGAAATGTTTTTCTCGCAGAGCAAGATGTCAAGGCTCATTTCGAGAGGCAAAAACTCGAGATGGCCAAAATCTCCAGTATGAACAAAAAAAAAAGCATTAGCTGGGCAATACACTGGCTGTCTGTCCAGGTCCTTTCACCCTATAACTACTGGATAGGCTCCAACCCTTGTGAATCTGAATAAGATAAAGAGAGGAAAATGGACTGTTGGTTGGACTCAATATGTCCATCAAGATTGAAAATTCCCTCCACAGGTCCCAGATCCAGAAGGATATGATTTCACATTTCAAGTTTATTTGTGACATAACATGTCGAAACTGTTCCAAAAACTCCCAGCTCTAGATCAGGATTGACTCCAAACTTTAATCACTTGTGAGTTGGGCTAAGCCTCATCTCTGCTAAAAAGTTTTCATGCCAATCCATGTGCAACTTTTTAAGTGATCCTGTTTACAAACAAACAAGCCGGGCCAGTCACATAACCTCCTTGGCAAATGTAAGAAGGATTTTAAATCAAGTCCTGATTTCCAAGACCTTCATAATTAGGTTATACACTCATAAATTTTAAAAACAACAACAACAATAACAACACAACAAGCTAGCTGAGAAAAGATAAAAACATTGCACTGAGAGTGGAAGGACCAGGACGTTAATCGGGGTTTGACAGCATGTTTTTTGCCCCTCTGGGCTCCATCCGTCCATTTTCTTAACCGCTTATCCAAGTTGGGATCATGAAGATTATCCCAGCTATCATAGGGCCCAAGGCAGGGCACACCCTGGACAGGTCGCCAGTCCATCAGGGAGCTAACACAGAGAGACAGACAACCACACACTCTTACATCAACAGCCAATTTAGAATCCCCAAGCATGGTCTGTGGACTGTGGGAGGAAGCCGGAACAATCCAAACTGCACACAGAAAGGCCGGCTGACTGCGCAGCACCACTGTGCTGCCTGGAGTCCATTAGCAAGTTAATTCAACCGTGCTTGAATGAGATGACTGATAAAGGGTGTGGCATGGTAAACTGAAGCATTTTGAGCAGACTGACATGTATCAGATACAACCTTTCAAGTACTTACAACACATTATCTATATCTATTAGACATAGAAACTCTGGTGTGTTATATGAGGAATCAGTGCTGTAAAGCTCAACTTATCATGGATACAGTGATGTAATAATAAATTGGCACCGGGAAAGCTATGATCCAATACGACTAATTTGGGTTTTAATGCATTGTAAACTTACAATAAGAGCCATGTACTCAGTGCATTAAACTCCTTTGGCCAAGTCTGAATTATCAAGTAGCCTATGCAAAATTATCTCTATATGCTGGCGTCTCAGGTAGGCGCTTGATGAATTTTTCACATGTTAAACAATAGTCTGGGCTTTGTTTCATTCATCATTACTCATTCATTAAAGAATCGGCAAGCTTCAAGTGTCCTAGATCTCCATCAAGCACTTTGCATGTCCCCGGAGGAGCACTCTGTACAGTTTGGATATTTTAATCTTTTATTTTAAAAAATGTTTTCATAGATCCGAGTAAGTAAATAAGTCAGTGATATATAAAGTGCTGTAAATGTCCATTGCGCACAATAAAATTTAGAGGCTTCGGGGAAGACATGTACTCACGGGTGCCATCAAAACGAGTGGCGATAGTATCCAAAAAGGTGTTCTGTGGCGCGATCAGACCCCGCATCACGGGCATCCGGGAGCGGGTCGAGCCTCGTCTTTCCCGGCGCTCTGAGCCATGGCTCTCGCTGGCGGTTGACACGAAGCCCGGCAGAAACCTCGAGGATGCCCCCGGCGCTCCTCCTAACCCCTGGAGGAGGGCGCCGAGCCGAGAAACCCGGGACTCCACGGTCCAAAGCTGACCACCGACCACCGAGCAGGTGATCCGGGCTTATAGGAGGAGAGAGGAGCCGCTGGAGGCTACAGGGGTGAGGACGGAGGGATGAAGGGGGGATGGAAGGACCACGGCGCGGATGGTCACATTTACGCACGGATGTACTGCATAGCCATCCCTCTTTCCTCCTCCCCTTCCCGCTCGCTCTTTCTCTCTGCCTCTCTAACACAAACACTTTATTCCTTTCCACACACTCTCCTCTCAGGCTAAATGACCATTTCCACTCACAGTTTTCTTTTTTTCACCCAATTTTTGCCCCTCTACCATCGCACCCCTCCCTTTACCTCCTGTCTTTGAAATTCTATCAATCTGTCTTCACCTTCCCTGCTTTGATGTTCTGATGGAGTGTCTATTTAAAGCTGGTAAATTAAAGTGTCATATTGTCCTTACTGTTTACACTGCGTGATTAACTATTACCAGCATTGTCTGCCACGTTTCACACTTGAAGCTGCAACATTTGTCACTCAAAGAACAAATGAATAATTTAGTCAGGATGGACACGAAAACTGTTAAAAACTCCCATCAGTATGATTATATATATTAGAATCCACAATCCACTCAAATATACAAAAGCCATGTGCTTATGTGTGCAGTTAGATCAGTGGGAACACATTATACTTCTCCGTATTTTCTGTCATTTGCATACTTTTACAATAATAGATGCTAAGGTTAAACATGGCATGAGGTCTATTATGTTTGGTTTGCTAGTTGTTTGTTTATTTGGTTGGTTGTTGACATGGAAGGGAGGAGATATACCTAATATGGTCATTTCATGCAGCAGCTTTAGCTGTGAGCACAAAGTCCCACCCATCTACTGTTCACATCTTTTGTTTGCAAGGGGCAGCCAATCAGAAAACAGCTGGCTTAAGTGAGTGAAAAGGAAGTCAAAATAGTTTGTTTTCAGACAGAGGATGAACTGAACTGTGAATGATACACGCTTAATCTGGTACAGTCCAGAATATGGAGCTGAAAGTGAGCGTAATAATAATACTGTTTTTTATGCATTTTTCTAATATAAACATATCAAATAATATGCAGTGTGATACAGATGTGGTTTGCCAAATGAGATGATGACATTATGTGGCATTTGCATTTTCTCTCTGTGCAGGCTTCCTGTCACTGGGCTAGTTTTCTCCATCAGTCAAAAGATTAGACTGCCACTTACACCCTGGTTCTGTGAGTCTTAATGGATCCCAGTCTATATGTCAGCGCTGTGAGTGGCAGCACATCCAGAGTGCAGCCCTCTTTTCGTTCGACATTAGCTGGGATGGTGCAGATAGTGCCAGGATGTGGATGGAGGCCCACCCTCTGCATTTGCTGATGTGACAGGTTTTCCTTATGTTGAAGTGCTTGGGATTGGAAATGTGGTTGAAAACCAAAACCAATACTAAACACTGCCAACACAAGTTAGCTTTAATGGCCTTTAAAAAAAATGACATGTCTGAAAGTTGTTAGAGTTTAAAGCTTTAAAAGAGGCTCTACCCAACCATCTCTTAAATGTGGTTAAAGCTGATGTCCCACTGCAACACTGCAAAACTAGAGAAAAGGGATGATGTCACTGAAGTTCTGCATCTTTTATTTATTGCTGCCACACAGTTAGGACACACTTTTGGTCAGTCAGTAGAAAGTGGTTTGGCCCGAAGAACAGATTAAAGATGTTAAACACTGTCCAAGAGTGGGACTTCTAAGCTCAGAAATCCCATCTTCTGCACTTGGGCTTTTCTTAGTGGCCTAAGGTGTGAAACAGTTATGATGTAGCACAGACGATGGTGTTTCTTACACCACATCTATTCGGTACATACAAATGGTTTAATTTTAAACATTCTATAAGCCTGCCCTGTAGGACCATGATGGTACTCGTGTTCCTCTTTAACTAATGTTTTCTTATGATATAACTGAAATTAAATTAAATGTAAGACACTTTACATACGCATCTTTGCTATTCTGGTTTTAAGCAACATGCACCATCCCACAGACTGAAGACAGCATGGTCCTGACCCCAAGCTGAAAACCTGCAGCATTTTTTTTAAAATATTTGTTTTGCATATTAAAATTCTACTTTCAAGGCCTTCGTTCTGCACATCCTGCCCTTTGGGTGCAGTCTCATCAGACTGCAGCTGGCTTGCAGCTAGAGTCTCCCTGGCTTCTCTTTTAAGGAGATCTTACAGAGAAAGACTCAAATGTCCTGAAATGTCAGAGACAAGCAAAGCTCCAACGTTTTCACACTTATTGCACTTTGTCTGCATCGGGACCCCCAAAGGTCTTAACGCTCCTGGAACTGCAAAGTAAGTATGCCTCTACTCTAATACCCTTTAGAGAAATTCACTGCAAATGCTTTGCACAGCACACATGAAAACATACAAACATACCTATGTATATAAGTATTCTAGACCTCAGTATTTCTTAGCAAGAGATTTCAATTCAGTTGGGTTGACGTTGAATCCCAAGCACATGTTACACAGCGCAGCGGCTTTTAACGAGGTAGATTCAATACAGGAAGCCCTGGCGAGTGTGGTCTGCAGATAAAACAAGGCTAAATTAAATCATCCACACCTGCGGCTGTCTGGAATTGCTGCAAAGACTAAAATAGGCTTAGAAGTTACTGTTAGACAAGATAACGGCATCTCGAGAGAAGAGGGGAGCTCCTCTCTGAACTGCTGCAGCAGAGACCTGTCAATCAAAGAGGAGGGGGTGCAGAGAAGAGGGCTGAGGGGAGGGAGGGGATGCAGTGGTGGGGAAAATTGACTGGGAGCTGGTTCGAACCAAAATGGACTCCTTCACTCTGGTTATGATATTGGGAGTATAAACCACAAGCACACTGTAACATTACAGCCCCATTCACAAACACTGAAAACCTGACCATCAGTGGTGTAAGTAAGGCAAGGGTGCCATCTACAGGAAAATCTGAACTATTCTCTAGGTCAAAAGTCAGCTCTTCACTTGCAATGGTGTGTTTCTTATCACAATCAAAGGGATTTTAATTAAAAGAAAAGAAGAAGAAAAAAAGGATATTGTACCACACAGAGATCAGTTGTCTGGATGACTTAAGGGTGATGATCAGGACTAAATTCGTAGCAATGATTTGCTTGTTTCCAGATTCGGAGGAAGCTCCCGTGAAGTCTGAAAATATGAAAGCGTGTAGAGTATCAAATCAGAAGCAGCAACAAAATCCGTACAACAGAACAGCTGTTCAGTGGTTTACCAGCTGGTTAACAGCTTGTGAGCGAGTCTGATTCTGTGCAGAACAGGTGGGTTAAGAATGTTCTCAAGTGTAACGGCCCACAAGAAACTCGCTGTGAGCTCTCTGAGGTCCCAGCTTGTAAGAGAAATCTGAATGTACAGTGCGAGTCTGCACTGCGGTATGTTATCTGTTTGGCAGCAGTGCTTGGTTTAGTGAGATCTGCTCCAGTCTAAACAGCACCTCTCATGTAATAAATTATACATGGCTATGTTACTGCTGGATTTTGTTTTGGTGGTCTTTGCACTGGACCACGTCCAGTGCAAAGATCGCACCTGTTTTCCAGCTTTGCATCATCGAGGCAGTGTGAGCGTGAGCGAGTGAGCCTCCTGCCCTGGTCTTGATTCGCTTATGACCGACTTATTTTGTCTTGTACTCAATTGCAGCCAAAGTTTAGTTAGATATCCACGAGATGATGAGGTTTGATACGCCATCTAATAATGATACTATCCCCAACATCCCTTAAGTAATATCACTGATTTGAAATTCACAGCTATGGCTTAAGTCAGATACAACTTCATAAAGTCAGCCTTGGTGAAGTGGACAGTTTTGAGTTTTGGCCAATATTATGAAAACTCACCCTCCAGACGCCCTCGAGTCAAGATAATAAACCGAGCGGTGGGTTTTTTCCAACCCACCGCTGAGATCTGAACAGTATCCAGGATAATGAGGATGTGTTAGGTGGAAAGACTGAATGGTGATGCTTCTATGACAGGGGTGGGCAATTCCAGGCCTCGAGGGCCGGTGTCCTGCAGGTTTTAGATCTCACCTTGGGTCAACACACCTGAATCACATGATTAGTTTGTTACCAGGCCTCTGGAGAACTTCAGGACATGTTGAGGAGCTAATTTAGCCATTTAAATCAGCTGTGTTGGTTCGAGGACACATCTAAAACCTGCAGGGACACCGGCCCTCGAGGCCTGGAGTTGCCCACCCCTGCTCTATGAGATATTAACCTTTTGATCAATACAAGTGAACGAAGACAAAATGAAGGTTCACTGGTAAACATCCCAGCATCCGATAGATGGATGGATATGGATAGATAGAGTGTGCAAATCAGAAGTAGAGTGTGGTTTGTGCTTCCTCTCCCTGCACAGTGGGAAGTCATTATACATTTTAGCTGTAGTGGGTTGGAAAGAATTTCTATATCAGAGCAAGTTTACAGCAGAAGTGAAGGAGCCTCCTACTGAAAAGACTGCAGCTATTTGACTAGTAGGTCATGCAGGGGATTTGATGTGTTGTCTATTACGCTGTAGCATCCTTCCATGAGTAAGTAAGCCTAAAGGCTCTGGGGCAGTCACCAGAGCAGAGCCAGACTTCCTAATCAGCATGCAGAGCATCCTAGTGTCACTGGATATGATGCTGCTACTTCAACACATGGCTGCAAAGAAAAATGCACCAGCAACAACACGCTTTATAAAAAATGTGCAACAATTTGCTCACACGTACTCGTTCCTCCATAAAGATGACATCTGATGACCTCCCCTCGTCCCTTAATGATGAGTTTTGACACAACAGTATTTATCAATACAGACATGGTTTTTCCAAGGGTAGCTGCACAATCAGAGACAACTCTGTCTTCTGATGCACACTCAGACATTTTATTCTATGAGCAGGCCTGAAACAGGCGTACTGGGGTTAGTCCTAGTAGGCACAGTGCTGTATATGATTTTAAGATCTTTTTTTCTATAGATTTTTGCAATAATATATTATCATGATTGTCTGATGCTGCGACAGCCCTACTAGTACTTATAGCTTGAACAATAAAAGTTGCCATGCCGATATCAGCGCTTGTCTAGGATTGGTCAAAAATCAAACTAAAGCAAATGAAGATGCAAGTGAAATGTAAGAAAATGACTGCAAGGCTACAAGGAAATGCATCACTGAATGCATTTCCTTGTAGGCTTGTGGTTTCAGATTTAATCCGTCTATTTGATCTAATTCGCTTTTTATTTGTTTTCTTTACTTGAAAGCTAGCATTTATTAGGAGGTGTCTGCTTTGACATAATCAGTCCTTTCACATCTAAAGCTCCCATCATTTGGTGTAATCATTTTATTTATAATACACATCCACTTTCTCTGTGTGGACTGCATCTAATATTCAAACAGAGAATAAGAATGACCCAAGAAACTATGAAAAGCATGTTTGATCAAAGCTCTTCACATATGCTTTCCTGAAAGCCAGCTCCAGATCATCAGTGCTGCACTTACACTACATGAATTGTTCTGGAATAAGATTTCATGTCTGTGGAAAAAGTTCCCAGTAATCAACATGAAAACTGAAATACCCAAACAAACCATGAAACGAGATCAGTTGCCACATATAGTTCAATCTGACCTCAACCAGTAAAACCGCAGCACACCAGAAAACTACTCAACAGCAACGATGGTAACAGAATTATACTCTCCAGGAGAAATAAGTTGTTAAAACCTTGATTTTTTAAATGATATGAGTTCATACATGCACTTTATATGCCCTGGTGCACAGTGTTAAAGTTAATTTAGATGCTGCTTCAAATAAGTGCCCCAAGAAGTTACCATTTCAGCTGACAGTGCTGAAACTTGCTTTTGGAAAGAGTCGGCATGATAATTATAAATGTAAAAAGTAAAATATAATGAATAATAAACGTTTTAACATTTTGGATTGACACTGATGGCATTTACACCTCTTGCCTGACCACCCCTTCTTTCCTGTGTACCTGATTAATTGATGATTGATTAAAGGCACAGGGAAGAAGTGTGAAAGTAATTCTTGACAATAAACACGACCATTGACACAACCACCATCCTGCTTCTTTTTTCACCCGCCTTTATCCAATTAAGCTGCGCTGGAGCCTTTCCCAGCTGTCATAGGACAGGAGACACTGGGTGTAATTTTTCACGATGTCTGAACATTGGCCGAACTGATCCTTTAATAATAATATCAACAATAACAGCAACAGCGTCGCAGTTCACACGAGCCGCCGACAGATGTCAGTGCAGGATTAGTGACAGCCTGCGCTTCTCGAGAGTGACGTAATCCAGTGAAGCCTAAATGAAATCCAAAGGCATCTCCCTCCCCCCTTGGGCTTAAAGTTGTAAAAGCAAGAGAGTAAATTTTTTATGCTTCAGCCTATATATACCTAACAGGAAAAACAGCTGTTTCAGAACAACAGTAATAAAATTTATAAAATACTAAAAATAGACGTTAAAACCCGGAATGAGGAGGAAGAACTGTATTACAGCTTGGACTGATGGAAAGATAGAAGAGAAAAGTCACACAAGCCACTCACAGCTGCATTAAAGGGTAAACCAATCGGACCTGAGCGCGTGCTACTGGGGTGAGCATCTGGCGCGCGTCTCCGTCACTCTCCTCATCTCGAGCGCTCGCGCCCGCGGTGCTGGAGGATGCGTTGCCGCGGAACGGTCTCGCGCTCCGCCGCTCCAGCTCTCCGTCCTCCGTCACAGAAACCGACAGAATAACCGCACAAGCCGCAACCACGGGACGATGTGAGGCGCAGCGGAGGCCACTTCCATTTTATCTGACTTCGCGGCGTCGCGTGTGGGTTTGTTCCCGGTGAAAATGGCGACGGGGGCAGGCTGGCAGCCTCCGTACAACACCTCGACTAGCAGCACCAAATATCCCCCCTGCACAACCTCCAGCATGCTCTACGACGGGAGCCTAACGCTGGAATACACTCAAGACCTGCATTTGAAGATGAGCAAGAAGATAGCACAGCTGACCAAGGTGCGTGGACGTGAGTGAGTGAAGCTCCGTGGAGTGGTTCAGTCATTTAGAGCATGTAAATGAAGTATAACTGTGTAATAACTGTGCTGGTGCTGCATGCCATTTGTAAACATTGCGCTCATTTTTCCTGTATTTTTCATTGACTTTGGTGTGTTGGCATTTTGAAGCAGGTGCTCTGCACGCCTGCAGGGTTCAGAGGTCACCATTAAATACCCAGGCTGGGTAGTTGATAATCAGTGGCTGTGATTGCTGTGCAGTACTTACACACTTCCCCGTGCATGCCGGTAGTATACCTTACTCTGTGGCCAGGCTGTTTTTCCTATGGGTGTTGATAGCTAAGAGCTTTCCAAATGCCCAGAGGAATGTGTTAATGTGCATCCAGCCTCTCCCCACCACAGTTTAACTGTTTTCTGCCACCACTGGGCTGCCTCTGGTACCCAAGGACTGAGAGAAGTTATGTAATCTCGGAAGGATGCAGAGGTTTTTGCTTTCTTTGTAGTCCACCTGACACCAGGGTAGGATTCAGGGATACTATGCCCTGCAGTTGTAGGAGATTTAAAGTTGCAGCTACATTTTTAGAGCATTTAGGTTTTTGTCAGAGTGGAGCTGAGGATGTAATGTAAACAAAGCTGTTTATGCAGATCAAGGAGAGACAAAAGCAGGAGTAGATGACAGAAGATTTTACATAATACTCGCGGGGAATTAGACACTCTGTAGGGTTGGATAAGCTGTGCAGATATCCACAGTATATCGGGCAGATTGGAAATGTGGACATCCAGGATTAAAATTCAGTGTTTCAGTGGTTGATTAAAATCTATTTGGCGAGAGAGCAGCGGCAGCATTAAGGTCCACATTTTGTCAGCAATCCAACTGCGTGTTTGAACCTGGGGACTTTTTCTCTGTTTATTCTTCACCATGTTTCCCCCTCATGTTTGGTGTTTGTTTATGCGGTTTCAGGTTGTTTCCTGCTCCTCACCCCACTTTAAAAAAAACAAACAGCCACAAGCCACAATCATTGATCCAAATGAAAATGAAAATGAAAGATTCACCTCGCCGGCTGAATTACGAAGAAGATTTAGGACCTGCAATCAATCCCAAACTGGCTGAGGGATGTTTTACTTCACAACTCTAACTTGCAGATTGGATCTTTAAATACTTTGCCTAGTTTTTTGGAAAACAGCAGCTTGGCAAAATCTGTCATCTGCATGCCTCTCAGGCTTTTAAAGTATTTTGTGTAATCGATGTAAAATGTTTGCAGCCAAGCCAGCGGTGGTTTAACTTTTTCAGCAACTTCCAAATGAGCCTATTTTTGAAAAAAAAAAAAAGATTGTGTTGATGGAGTTCCTTAGATCTAATAGCTACACAAATTGGGAAGCAATGCTGCATAATTAGATTGGAGTATGTGTAAAGCGGCATGTTGTGTGAGCAGGATCTGAAGCCGGAACAGTTTGTTGTATTAATAGATTTAACCAGCATAGCTGGTTAAACACTTTCAAGAAGATATGGTGAAAAGAGATACTCGGCATTTTCTCCAGCGCAGCATCTGCCATGTAGAAAAACAAGCAAACATAAAAATAATAGTGAGCCGCAGCTTCAGTGCCAGTCAGATTTGTCCTAAGGAGATCTCAGAAATCCCTCTGTGTTTAACTTGGATTTTAACACAGATTTAGAGCTTGTTTTGTTGCATCGTCCGTCCTCCCTTAAAGCAAATAGCACCTTCCTCTGCTGTGAATCCATGTGTCTTTCGTTTTTAAAAATTGAAAGCGTCATGGCAGATTTATGCGTCTCTATTTTGTTTGTGTGAGTGCGTAAGTGTGTGTTTATCTGCAGGCTACCGGTATCTGTGGCACATGTGTTACTCTTCTTTGGAAACATTTTAATTTCAGATGAGTGAGTCAGACATTCCCAGCGTTTCTATTCATGTGTTGTTCGTCCACGTAGTAAATCCGAGCTCTCAGCAGTGCTGTTGTGTGTATTTCGGTCATTCTGCCTCTGCCCACAGGACTGCCCACGTCTTTGCAATTGTGCTTCTTTGTTAAATTCACAGGTGCTGCATTGCCTTACCTTTTCATGAGGGTCATGCAGCAGCAGCGTTAGACGAGGAAAGTGGGCCATTTTCAGGCTGCAGCATATTTCTCAAAAAGATCGAACACCCGGTACCATCAGCAAAGAGATCAATGAAATGAAATTAAAATGATACCAAATTACCAAAAATTCATCATCAATCATCCACTGTATAATCCAGGATGAGGTTGTGTTACAGTAGATATGCTGCTGTGCTCTGATTCAGTGCAGTGCTCTGACATGCTTGATTTTTGCCCTAACATTACATCATCTAAACTTACTTTCAAGAGCTTACAGCAACAGCTTTGAATAGCTGTATTAAACCAGTCTAATCCTATTGTGAACCTGAAGGTGGAACTGTTTTTATCAGCGAGAATGAGAAATGTCACTTTTACCTGACATTTAAGATGTTAAATCCAGCCTCATAATCAGAGTTGTTGATGCAGTGAATACAAAATTTGCTTTGACCCTAAAAGTCTAAAGGTGATTTAAAAAATCATCACCAAATTAGTGGAAAGTATTGATCATCTTGATGTGAGCAGCATCGCTAACAGCTCACGTTTCAGTGCAAAATCATTTCAGCTGTGTCCTCAGTGCTTAAACATCTGGCCGTGCATATAACCTATTATAAAAGGATTTTTCTGGGAGTACAGCGTTGATTAAATTGAAGGCTGCACTACAATGTCATATGTTACATTAGTTTTATTCTTTAACACTCCAATCTGTTTTAAACATAAGAATTTATTGTAAAGACTCTGTTTGAAACACATTCATTTGCTTTCTACTGCTTATCTGGAACCTGGTGGAGAAGGAGATGCCAACATCTCTCTCTCACCAGCTGCCGCCTCCAGCTCTTCTGGGGGAATACTCCCAAGTCATCCAAGAAACATAATCTCCAGCAAGTCCTGGGTCTGCCCGAGGGTTTCCTCCTGATATTTCCAAAACACCTCTCCTGTCCCCGCTTGTCTATTTCTTCCCTATCCATCCGAAACTAATGCTTCATCCCAAAATACAGACACATTTTCAGTTACACTGTAGCCTAGAGAGACTGACAAAACCCACAAATGAGGGATATCGTGATGGTTGGGCCTTAAGAGTCATAAAATGTGGTCAACAGACACACCTGATCTCTTCTGTTTGTATTAATATATGAATTACATATATGCCTTTTGAAGTGTGAAAAAACCTTTACATATTAGGAACCAAAGGTACACAGAGGCAACAGAATTGAAAGTTTGTCCAGTGGAAAAAACATTAAACCTAACTTTACGTTCTGGCAGTCCAATTTACAACAGCTATTGGATTTCAGCTGTTGCAAAGGTAATTTATGCTTCAAAATAAATTATTTGTTGTGTTTAAAATGCCATAGAGCAGCGGTCTCCAAGCTTTTTTGCGCCACGGACCGGTTTATGCCCGACAATATTTTCACGGACCGGCCTTTAACGTGTCGCGGATAAATACAACAGAATAAAACTAGCAGAAGAGAAGATTTATTCATAACAAACTTGAAAAGACCCAGGAAAACCGAGTTAACGATAAAAACGATAACAAAATAACGCTGAAAACCGATAAAACCTCTGAAAACCATACATTTCACACTTGGACCTCAACTCTCGCGGCCCGGTACCAAACGACTCACGGACCGGTACCGGTCCGAGGCCCGGGGGTTGGGGACCGCTGCCATAGAGGAATCGGTAAATGACCGAAGGCTGGCTGATAAGACTGCTGGTTGATGTTTATGCCTGGCAGACACTAATGATTCATAACTCTGAAGCTTAGACATTAGTTTGATTGAGTGAACACTTATTAGAAATCCATAATTGCCCGTCTGGGTTTGGCTAATATGCTTTGCAATAACTCTTGCAAACGTAAGTCCGTATTGAAAGATTTATCTAGCCTGAGTTTACAAAAACTAGCTGACAGCAGTGAAAGTGTCAGAATTGAGGACTAATTAGCTAATTAGAGTTTGAATTGATCTGCACATTTGGCTGAAACTCTCAAAACTCTTATCGTCCACCAGGACACTAGCAAACCATCCAGGGTTAGGATTAGGTTTGGGTTTTGTTTTAGCCACATGCTAAATAGGTACGTGTTCAGAAACGTCACGTAATTGCTTTTTAGTCTCATTAAGTCCTCCCAGAATACTCCACCCGACTGTATCCTCAGTTGACGTCAATGATGCCCCACTTGCACTATACATCACATTATTAGAGCGCTGCTTTGCCATAATCCCTCTGAGGCAGTCCAAAAGTCTTTTTCCATGGCCTCACCGAACTCCTCCCACAGCTGACTGGGACCACAGTAGTGGTGATTAGGATGCTCTACAGGTCTGTCATGGAGAAGCGAGAGCTGAATATGAAGCACAGTAGGGCTGGGCGATATGGCCTAAAATCCATATCGCGGTATAATTGGAAGCATGTGCGGTAACGATATATATCGCGATATATTCTTTTCTTTTGTATAACGTATTTCCCACACTATAAGGCACACTTAAAATCCTTTAATTTTCTCAAAAATCAAGAGTGTGCCTTATGTATGAATTCTGGTTATGACCTCGAATCGATTTTGGCGTGCAGAAATCTGTTAAAAAATGTTTTAGTACAACTTTGGTAAGCCGCACTGCTTGATGGATTGTCAGAGCAACTACTGCCGTGGTGAGGAGCTTCGCGGAGTAATCTGGGTCCAAAACTCCGTCACTTCAGGTCCCAAAGTCAAACAAAGACTGAGAGTTAAAAACGGTCTAAATTCTTTTGTCTTTAATAAAATCATCAGCATTGCTGCTTTACCAGGTGTAACAATTAAGTTTAACATCCATGCATCCATGAAAACAGAATTTATTAAATTTAATTTAACAGTTAGAAGTCGCTAGTTTCAACCTAAACATTTCATAGCATGTTCTGACTGAGAGATTTTTGAAACTAATTAAAACGTACAGC